AAAAAATGGATTTTTCATGAGTTTATTTTTGAGCCAGTCCCATTTGTAAACGCTTTCAATGGAGTATTTTTGTAATTGTAATATTGAGTGGATGCTCTTTTGTTGCTATGGATTAAATGTTACAAATAGTTAGAATCATGAATTAAGTATGTTTGAAGTTTGTAACCAGCTACTGAATTCACCAGGATGTTTTCCAACCACAAAAGAAAGAAACATCTTCAACGGAAACGCTAATTCTTACCCAATTTTATGATTTTATTTTTGTTTTTGTTTTTCTTGCGCTAATCGCAGAGACAAAATGAAAACTATTTTAACATGGAACAAAAGCATATTTAGTTTGATTTAAGTTTATGTTAAGCGTATTCTATTTAGCATTGCTTTTGATGGTCTTTCGTTTAATTTTTTTCTTTATTTTCGGTGGACGTGTCAATCAAATTATATATCCTCACTTAGCCCAAAATACCAAAATGGGAAAGCAGATTGCTAATCAAAATTCACGTGTTGGATGTGTTTTTAAAAATAAATAAATAAATAAAATTAGTTGCCTTTTGATGGTCGGCAACTGTGAACCTTGTTAGTACTCAGCATAAGATCACCTCCTCTTCTAGCAACTCGATAATTATTATTATTCCCAACACTTGCGTCAATGTAGATAACAAATTTATGGAATCAAAATAGCAACACATTTTTAAGCAGTTTCAACAACGACCCAAATTTTCATCGTATTTTTTTGTTTCTTTAAATTTTTTTTATCACTTTTTTGTATTGAACTAAAACAATAAAAAACAATGTCAATACATATTATATATATATATCATGGAGTGTATAGATTTGTATGTAAAATTTTACTAGATTAAACAATTCAATGGGTCAGTTAATTACAGAGTGTTTGTATTTGTAATATCCTTGAATTCCATTTTTTAAATCGACTACGACGATCAACACAACACCGCTAACATGCAAAATAAAACCACACACAATTTGCATGTGTGCTGGCCAATGGTGTTGTGCAAGAGAAAGAAAATAAATCAAAGGAGATCCTTCCTTGAAATTTTCGGATGCGATGGTGGATTTGGTCGTGACGCACGCTAGAAAACTTGCTGACAAAGAGCGTGCCGCAACGATTACCAAATCATCCTCAGCACTCCCATATCTCTTTTGTGTCGAGTTTTATTTTTTAAATTTGAATTGTAACCGCAATGTTTTTAGATATACACCAGCAAAACCGTAAATATAATCATTATATTTTTAGTAAACAACAACAACAACAAAAAAAGATACATTATTAAACAAGCGATTTTTCTGTTTTTGATAATAAAATTTATGCTAATAAATTCCTTTCGTCTTCTCTTCTTTTTTCCGTGTTCGTTTGTTGTGTTGTCATATATTGTTGTTGTTTTCTTCTTCATCACCATACCAATATGTAAGTAGTACATTTGATTTTCTTTCCGTATTCACATCTCACCAGCCTCCATATGTTGTTCTCTTGTTTGTATTCGTTATTGCTCTAGAAGAACTAAGAAATTGAAACGATTTTGGTTTTTGTTTTTCGTTTTTTTCTCTTTGATTCACATGGAAAATTCCCACTTTTCTGTAGATGTCGCGTCGACGTTGTCTCATTTTTTATTTAATCTTTGAATTGAAGCAGGCACATTGTGTCTATGCAATTCGTAACTGCTATTAAATCATCCTTTGCCAAGAGGAATCTTTTTCAGTTGTAATCCAAGCCTTGTCGACCGGTTATGAAAATTTAATTTAAAAAAATGTTGAAATAATCTAGAACGAACACTTGAAAGCAATGTTGAAAAAAAAGTAAAATGAAAAAAATGCCCAAAATTTTCTCAATGTAACCAAAAGATGTGCATTTTATGTGGCAACAAAAAGAAAAGTATCAACATTTTTGGTTTTCATTCCGTGAAAAAGCGGTCTTAAAATTAGAGAGAATCGATTTGTACCGATTTCGATACCTGGCTACTCGATAGAGCACTTTGTTGCAGCACGCTATATATATATTTAATCACGTTCCTCTTGTTAGACTCACATTTTTGAAACGCATTCCATTTGTACCGACTTCCTATTTGCATTCAGCTATAAGTGCGTGATTTAGAGATGGATTTTCATTTTCATTTAATTCTTTGTGCTAATAAAAATTGAATAGAATTAAAGCGAGAAAGAGAGATACAAAAAATAAACAGATCGTTGGCATTTTTGGATAGTTGATGTGAGAGAAGGTTTTTTTTTTGGTGGCAAAATAAATTCATAAGTTGTATGTTTATGCATTGTTGGAGTTAATTTTTAAATGGAAATAAACATGCTCCTGCAACTCCAATCAATAACTTAGTAATGGTTAGCAATCGACGTTTTACTCTGAATCGTCCCATTGAGGATCTACTTAATCGAGTTAATTTGTAAATAGAATTTTGAAGTCTCTAAAAGAAAATCACATTTTTACCAGTCGTGTGTTATTAACTTGAAAAAAAAAGATGAAAATTGAAGAAAAAAAATGATATAGCATTAGCATAATCCAAAGACAAAAGAAAAACAAAACAAAAAATGATTACAGGACATTCACTCATTTGTAATAACCGTATCTAAGTGTAAAGCAAAGCAATTTATAATACTGATGACGATGATGATGACGTTGAAGTCAATGTCACAACACGTTTCAAAAGCTATTTCACAATTTTATTCAGCGTCATAAAAAGCTATGCAAACTGTGTTTACAAACTATCTTTTATCACACGCTCTGTCTAAATATATAAATCGCAGTTCGGCGCATTTTTGCATGTAGCTTGAGTATTGTGAGTCCAAATTAGTTGGTTTAACAAACACTCTTGGCAACAGCACGCTTGGAGACAATATCAACGCTTTTTATCGACGCCAAATTATGTCAATTCTTTAGCACTGAATCTCTGTTCCACTCATACAAATTGTACTTCATTCTTCACGTTCAAACACTTTGCTCGTGCACACGACGCACTAATTCCTCGCTCAACTATTCCCGTTTTTACGTCCTCAATCTACTTATGATATTTAACAAAGCCCAACATGTGTAGTGTTACATGCCCAACTACCATAATATATAGATGCAAGTAATTATTTTTCTACTTCTCTGATGTTTTTTCTTAAACCAAAATGTACGAGAGAATTTTTAATTACCAATTATAACATAGAACGTTAAGTAGCATCAACAAATGAGATTTAAAACTAAATGAACTTCGCAGAAGAAAAAAATCCTAAAAAATCAACTCCGAATACATTTTATGCTAGTTAAACTTTTTTTTTCTTTTAGCTTTTCAATTACTGTTTCTTAAGATATTTATGTATATTCAATTGACTGTTTGATCATAGGCATTCGAGTCTATTCGACATCATTCTATTGAACTTTCAATAGAAACAAAAAAAAATTACAGAAAAAGAAAAATTTTCAGAAATTTTCCTCTAACGTAAATAAAATGACTGTTTGGTGTATGATAACTATTTCTTCTAATTGAAATACATGTTTGGTCATTGTTGCACTACTCTATTAAGACAGAAAAATAAATGCCATTCATAAATTTTATAATCATCAACCATCAAATACCAAGAAATCTTTGAATGTAGGACGCGATTTTTATGAAATCATATTTGTTTCACGTTGAGTACTTGTACTGCTTCCTTTCGATATGAAGAAAGCAAAATGTAAACGTTTCAATCAACGAGATGTTAGGTTGAGACTGTGACATTTTTCAATTGACCAATGGCTGTCTGACGATGAAGTCGCACAAATCGAGGTGATTTAATCGACCATTGACAGATTTACATGGAGATTGAATGAGTAACATAAGGAAATAACTCTCTAATTTTAAAATTCGTTGAGCTAAAGACACAAATAAGTCCAGGTAAAAGGATCTTTTTTGATTTGAAAAAATGAATTTCGAAATACTTGAAGAAAAAGTGTTGACTATTGGACTCATTAATACTGAAAAAATATCATAGAAAAAGTCTTGCGTTACAAAACGACCTTCAATACAAAATTCTCAGAGCAAAAAATCGATTTGTGCGACTGTAACATTCAGAAATGGTTTGACGATACGGTCTGGAATGAAGAGCTAAATTCTAGTTGAACAAATTGTATTTGCTGTTCTTTGTGTGTTGCTTGTTCATCACTTTTAGTAATATATCACAAAAGGGACACAGTTGAAGATCCGACATAAGTCCATTTTATGCTCGATATTTAAGATACAACTGTGTTTGTTAGCTGAAAGAAAAAAAACGATGAACTATTATCATAACCAGCAAATAGCTAAAACAGAGAAAGAGCGAGTTGATTTTGTTTCGCATCAATGTTTTCATTTCTCCAATAAAAGAACCAGCGATAGACGACAACTGTAACTGTCGTATTAACGAACTAAAAAAAAAGCAATTGCAAACCAAGTTCATTACTTTACTGCTAAATAGATGGGAATTATTATGTACTGATAGTCATGCAAACTAATAAAACTAAACAGAATAAAAGAACCAAACATTTCATTTTTATACATCAATGGTTTTTAGGAAGTGCCATTGTGCGCTCTATCTTCTCACGTAAGCTGTTTTATTTTGCGAATATAATCAAACAACTGATAACCACAAACCAAAATGAAATTTGAAAAAAAAACATAAAAATTAATAATAATCTAAATATGATAGGCTCTGCAGTAACAAAACCATATTATACAATAAAACGTTTGATTTGATTAGAATGGTGTTTCATTTATTTGCGTGTGTTGTGTTTCTGAGGCTGGAATGTGTTCATCATCATCATCAAAATGGTGAGTGTTTCGGTTTAAGTTAAATGAAACCGCATTTGAATGTGAAGCCACAGCAGCAGACAACGTCATTGTGAGGTAAGTCGACACACGAATCTTATGAAAAAAAAAACAAAACAAAATGCCGTACGGAATACATTGATTGTGAGTGCGAGGCATAGTGTGTCATCGCCGCATGTCATATGAATAGTATACGTTATGACGCAGTACATTCGATGAAAGCGAATTGAAACTAAACGAAATGCTTTAAAGTGGAATCGAAGCAAAAGTGAATCCAACATCAATACTCAATTCTCGATGACATTCTAATGTGATTATTTAGCAAATTTTCGACGTATTAATTCGTTCGTCGCCATGACTCACATCATTCTATAGGGCACATAAATGTGAAGTTGTTGCGAGATTTAATATTGGTTACGTTTTGCGACACACGATGACAGTGCCACCTTGCGCTATTCCTCGCTACTCATTGATCGCACAAACAACGATGTGTTATGCGCTTGCACTCCTACCAAACGGAACCAAGCAACAAAAAATAATCTGTCAAAAATGTGTTGTTTTTATTCTCTCATATTTTAGCCGTCAATACCACTATCACACACTGTGATTGAACAACCTTAGTGTACAAGAACGGTGTAAACACGCGACAAAAGCTTCATTCACACGGATTTTTCTTTTGTGTTTTTTCTTTCTTGCCCGTATTTTTTTCGCTCAATTTTGAATCAATTGCAATTTATTTGTATTGGATTTTAGGGAATATTCCAAATTAACGATTCACACATTGAAATTTGTTGCGAGTGAAGGGCGAAAAAGAGAAGAAAAAAAATATGGAAATAACAGAAAGGCCACAGTGTTGCATCGATAGATGCTTGACAAAAACAAAGTCAATTAAAGTCAAAGACATCATTTATTATTTGTAAGCAATGGAATCACGTTTTAGATTTTCGTTTTTCCACGATACAATTCGTACGATATTTTTCTTACAAATTAGATTAAACTAAAACTAAATTGAGAAAAAAAAATCATCACTTTCAAAAACAGGTTTCCAACTGACGCTGACTGGGCACATAAATGGGAAATGAAGATTAAGGATTTTGATCCGAGGTACAGACGCAAATCAAATCATATTGTTTGTTCGTTGCATTTTGCAAAGTCGTCCATGCAACCCATATCCCGGCAATTGGTTGACCACGCACTGCCCATTTATTTCCCGCAAAAAGCCACCACTACGCAACCTCTTCCGCAGCAGAAGAGTACGAAGCCGGTTCCAGATTCAACGTCAACTGAATCAAAGTGCTGTATTACTGGTTGCCCAACCAAATTCGACGACACGGATCCGAAAATTGCCGGCTTTAAGTATGTTTTCAATGTCATTTTATCAATTAAAACAGTTGAAGATTTAAAAAAAAACAGAAGATCAAAACTCATATTGAATACTTCAAAGTGTGTAAAAGTTAAATCTGTGAATGAATTTGTACTTTCGATAGATTCCCCGATAGCGAAGAACAGCGCAAAAAATGGATGTTTATCATTGAATTATATAACAACCAAAAGATTGAATGGAACAAATCGATGAGAGTTTGTGCGCTTCATTTTGCTAGCGCTTGTTTTACAATGGATGACAAATTAACGGACGGTGCCAAGCCATCGATATTCAAGAGTGCAATCGCATGTAGACAAAAGGAAATGTAAGTTTCACTTTCGTTGGTTCGATGAGCAAACGAAATGAACTACAATTGAACAGGAGTCTCTTTCGAATGTCAAAATTGAAATTCTCTCTCTAACTTCTTCTGATAGTGCAAAGCAGCAAACACAAACGACCCATCAACAGGCATCCCCAACAAAAACGCACAGCATAAATGTCCCGTTGCACAAGAAAAATGCCGACAATCATTCGATGACAAGACGCAGTGCTCCAGTCATTGCGCGCCGATTATCATTGCCATATTCAAAGCTGCCACCACTTTTGCCCAAGCCAAACATACAAGTATTGAAACGGCCCAATCCAGTTCAAATGAACAGTGTGAATGTGGCAAACAAACTGCAGCGCATTAGCCTACCAAATGGTAGGCTAACACCTGTGTCAACAGCAAGAGCAAACATAAACGCAACAGCCAAACGGCCCGTTCCAGCGCTTACTAAAGTCAACGTTGTACCAAATCCACAATTTGTAGCCAAAGGAAATGTGTCAGTATTGAGAAAATCGATGCCATCGCCACAGATGAATAAATTGTCACTTTCACAGGCTATTGTTGCGCGGCTAGACAATGGAACCGCCAAATTAATACCCGTATCAACGTCATCGGCCGCACATATAACTAGACTACCGCCAACATTGAAGCCAGCGCCGCGGCCAGTGATCACCTTACCGAAAGGCACATACATCGAAACTCAAATCCCGAAGATAAGCAGAGTACAAAGCATTCCCAATGTACAACCGAAAGTTGTGGCAAAAGTAATGGAACACCCAATGCCAATCCTTAGCAAAGCACCGGAAAAAGTTGCTACCGTGTCGAGTCCAGTTGTTGAAGAACGCCGCGTTCCTGATGTAATGTAAGTGCAAATAATTGACTTGTGAATTGGATGATTCTCGACTTAATGCTTAATATCCAATCATTTGGTCACGTTCACAGTGTAATCGAGGACGAAGAAGTTGAAATAGCGATGGCCATAAAGACATCCGAAGATACCGATGATGCAAATGCTACCACAACAAACAAAAATGACGACCAAAAGCCGTTGTATACTGTCCAAGATGAACGTGCGTTCAAATTCCCACGCATGCTTTTGGCACGGATTATAGAAAAAAAGCGACAGAATGACGAGTTCTCCACTGAACTCACCAAATGGAAGAAAATCGCTCTCAAAATGAATCAGCAGTATCGTTTGCAAAGGGCAACCACCAGCATGGAAACAATTGATATTTCATAAATATGTAAGCAATTCATCATAGGTATAGGTTATTGACTCAATTTTTTTTTCGTTCATATTTTCAATGCTCCGACAATGTATTGTTCTCGATTTTAAAAGTGAATAAAATGAATTCAGACTGTATGAAAAGAAAGTTCCATCATTTTTCAATTTAGTAATAACTATTTGGTTTTATTTTTTGGGGTTTTCTGTCATTCCACAGTCGTACAAAAGCTCATTATTTCAAAATTTCTTGATATTTATTTCTATTCCTTAGTACAAATCGGTTGAAAACATGAAATGACACAGTGGTCAATCTAAAGAAAACAATGAAATGTAATTGACTTGTACTTTTTTACGCGAATTTAGCCATTCTCATCGAACGGTGCAACAGTTACCAGTGTCATTTAGTTTTACACCCGATAGAATGTGATGGCTTGGAATGATGTTGAATGGAATAGACGATTATTTATTCGGCTTCTGACTGTGATGTTGAATACGATGAACGTTCCAAACTGCACTATTCTTCAACACCAACTGAGCTGTTTGATGCCGAATCAGACTTGTTATCTGGACTACTGCTGGTTATATCAATTACTTCGGTGTTCAATGCTGTATCAGACTGGCTTTCTGGGCTAGAGCCAACAGCAATTACTTCGATGTTCGATGCCGAAACAGGTGAGCTTGATTCTTCTCTGTTTGATCCATCTGATGGTTCGTTTTGCGGTGTATAAACCGACGATGGAGCTGATGGAAATTCATTCGTACCCCCCCAAAAATCTAATGGTTGTCCCGAACTTGATGACTTGTTTGTCGAAGCTGTAGCGTTTGAGGGACCTGCTGTTTCATTCTAGGAAAGTCGAGTATTATTTGCAAGATGAATTAGATGAAAAGTTTGGACGACACAACACAAAACCCAGATTAGGTTCCAATGATTCCCAGCAAACCCAGCTGAACAAAATGTTTATTCATGTTAATCAAGTTTTTTTCCCAAATCTGACTAAATTCCTATTAATATATACAAGATTATAAATTACCCGTTGAGCTAGGGCCTCAGGCGATTTCGAATATTTTTTCCAATGGATGTAAAAACGGTTCATGGTGGTGTAACATTCATTGCAAACGATGGATCCACATTTATCACCTTTCTTCTGAGCAACACCTTCTTCGGGAAGACTTTCCGTGAGAACGCTACGTATATATAGATCTTGAATGAAGTTCATCAGTCGCAAATCGCTTCGATACATATCGGCAAAGTCTGTGGAGTCGTTAGTAACTCTGGAGCAAAAATTACATACGGTCTTCAAAGAATGTAATTTCAATGCCGATTTGGCTTTAAGATAATGCTTGAGGTAATCTTCGGTAGTCACTTGGCAATTACCACATAGCGTATCATTGGGTTGAATCTGAAGCGAAATTAACACAAGAATAAGACATCAAAATGGTTTTTCCAAAATATTCGTTTTAACTTACATTGTATGCTTTCTCATAAAACGTTTGGACTTCCTTTCCATAGTTTGATAAAGACCCGAAAACAAGAACATCATTGGAACAAAGACAGCATTTAACTTGATTCATTTTGGAAAAAAAATCGAAGAAACGAAATAGTTTTGCGTGTCAAACAATTCGAAATGTCAAATCAACAGAGGTAACGTTCGTTTCACCTGTTTGACATTTCGCTCTGTTTATATGACAAAAATGTGGTTATGTCATTTATTCAGTCTACTCGAATTGAGTCTTTAGAAACATATTTGAACAAAAAATACAAATTGTTTGAATTTCTAAATGTATTTCCTATTGATCGCTTTCAAAATGAATCAACATTATTGTTTGTGAAGGGTAACCACCAGCATGGAAACAATTGATATTCCATAAATATGTAAGCAATTCATCGTAGGTACACTCAATTTTTTCGCCTGTATTTTCAATGCCCTTGCTCGATTAATAGTGAATTCAGACTGCATGAAAAAAATATGTTTCTACTCATTTTTCAATATTTAGTTTTATTTTTTTGGGGTTTTCTGTCGTTTTAAACGATCTTCAATTGTTGAAAAGGCCATTCCACTTGGTTTGTCTTGCAATTCAGTGACGCAATATTGCCTGATACATTTTAAATACTTGGTTTTTCCCTGATAAATTATGGACAACGTGATTGGAGCACCAATTCTAGTCATCTCATCGATTCGTTGTTTGATTTCGTCCACATTCCTGGCAAATATATAGGGAAAATGTACTAGATCCGCCGCCGTGAATTGCGTCTCATTCAATAAATAGTCTAGTAGGCTCTTTATCTAAAATGGGAATGACGTTTTGAATGAAACTTTGGGAACAAACTTTCGATGTTTTCATTTTCAAACTTTCAAATTGAACCGCACCTTAGAGGCCGAACATTTTGCCAGTTTCGGATATTTTCGCAAAGCTATCGCTAGGTCAGTCTCATTCCACCCCAGTCGATGTACCAGGTAGTCCATATTACTCTCAAACCCTTCCAATGAATTCTTCTCTTTTGCATGTTTTGCGACTAGTCTGAAAATCGGAGTTGTGAATCAGCTTGAGGTGAATTTAATTTGATTCGATTGGAATTTCCGAATTGGAAAATGAAAATTACGTCTTCTCTTTACTTATCATGTTCTGGGCTATCGGGTAGGATAATCATCCACGATGAAATCTTATCAAAACCATCTCTCTTCAGTTTGCATATGACTTCTTCGATTTTTTTCACGCTGAATTTAAATGTATTCTGACAATTCAAAATGCTTGATCGATCCACATCGTGCTGCAGCAGTACATCCAATTTCGGTTGTAGTAGTTGTGGTGCGTATTTAAGGAAAACAATTCGATGCTCGGCAAATTGTGTGGCTACGACATTGGCTGGAATCTAGAACAGAAGCAAGTTACATTAGTTACAAAAATATGGAAATTCAATATCAAACTCACTTCCAACTGTTCGCTAAAGTAATAAATCGGATGATCGCGTCCGATGGTAAATTGTTTCTCAAGTTTACATCTGTATTCGTCCAGCACAGCTGTGTCGACACTCATCAGCGGAATGAAATCTTCAATATTCTTTGGCTTCATTGATTTCAATATGTCCAGTTTTTCCTCAATTTCATCTGAAAAATATTGACATACGAATTTAATAGCATCTCTAGATATATGATGAGACTCATACAAAATATGTTTCACATTATTGTTCAGGAAAACTCATTTGAAAACACGTGATTCATAGTTTGAATATCATACCTATTGGCATGGATAGTAAAAATCCATTTTCCCTGATCGTTTCAAGCTTGACTTTTATTCCTAACAAATATGCTATGTTATTCTTCGCAGAAACCAATTCGTTGATTTCATTCACGTAATTGTAGTAGATCTCGGATGAGTCTGAATCATTGCATTCCAATAACGATTTCAATGACTCAACAATAACGGCTTTATCTCGGTTTCGTTTCTTCAGCTGCATCGTCATTTTAGCTGATGAAGCGCCCTTTTGGGTGTCTCCATGTTTCGCGATTAACCTATGCCAAGATGAAAAATTTAATCGTCGATTTTGTTTAATTTGTTGATAATTCAGTCAACAATGTATGAATATAAACCTACTCGTCAAATTCATCTTCCGGAAGTTGAAAGTAATACATTTTAATGGGCATACCAGCCGAAATCATCCGCTCCGAGCGTCGAACAAAAACACTGTCATCACAACGAAGTACGTACAGGCCTTTGAGTATATTCAGTGGGCTCACTCCATAATCCAAAACGATGTTTATCTTCTTTTCAAAGCTTCGGAACGAAGAGAAAAATAGCTCATATCCACAGTTGACGCGATGCTTTGAGATCACTTTTGGCTCAATCTGAAATTATCGATTCTGTGAATAACATTGGTTTTTCTACGAAAATGATCTACATGTTTGATACGTTCGGTACGAAACCTACCTTAAGTTTCTCGCTCAAAAAGTAAATTCGGTTGCCTTGTTCGATTTCATTTTCCTCTTTCAAAAATCGCGCAACCAGCTTGTTCAGTTCGTCTTGATCAAGTGCTAGTAGTGGTGCAAAATCATCGAGTTTTTTTGGTTTCGCCGAATTAAGCAGATCGATTTTCTTTTTTAAAATTCCTAGAAGAATCAATGTTAGTTAAGGCTTAAAAAAGTGTAACCTTTTAAACTTCCAGAGGAAACAATTCTGGAACTGACACAAATTTGAACATGAAAAAAGTTTGAATCTCACCAATGTTCATTGTAATCAGCGACGGATTCTCAACGATAGACTGCGGAAATATTTGGCCGCGAAGCAATTCCAACGAATCATTTTTAATGACATCAATCGATCGCAACAATGGAAATTTGCTGTAGATATTCTTCGCTACATATTCCGTGCAGCATAGTTTCTCGCTAAGATTTGCAATAACATCGGCCTTCTTCGGTTGCAACGCAGTGATTTGAAGTTGTATTGTTCGTGGTAGGGTTATAGTCATACACCCAACACATTTTACATTATGTAATGCAAGTGGCCGGAATTTATTTAGCAAAATCATTATACATGTTGAAAAATAAATGAAAATTAACCAGCAAAAATGGTGAATATTTCAAAGAAAATTATTATTTCTCTAACACTGAACGACCAAAATACGATGAATTGAAATGTGACGTCTGTCAAAGTGGCCGCTTCATCTGACTTGTCAAACGGTGCGCAACAAACTGTCAAAGTGAACAAAGGCAGCAGCAACAGCAGCAGCATCGCTTGTCAGTACGAAAATGGTTTGTTTATATTTGCTGGGTGAAGAGACAGAAATAGTGTTCATTTACATATGAAGAGAAGAAGAAGAAGAAGAAAAAAAACGCAGAGAATTTTTGGCACAAGTACACACATTCACGTTTTGTTCGACATACAGCCAATAATGAACGCAGTATTGTGAGTCCACCACCAGTTTGCAAAGAATGTCGAACGTTGCATAGCACTAAAATCGACCACACACTACACAGAAAAGAAGCGTATTTCAACATTCAACACGAAAAAAACTAAAACTAAAGAGGTGCACAAAGGAATAAAGCATAAAATACAAACGTAGCGAAAAGTTAAAATTTGTTGCTTTTTAAACTTGGCCTACACTACGTCAGTCGCTGTGTGTATCGACTGTGCGTGTGAATAAAGCGAAAAAAGAATAGAATGAACAAAAATAATCGTGTGTTTGGAGTTGTGTGTGATTCACACAGTGTGAATGTGTTTCATAATTATTTGTCGTACACCGAATTGTTGGCAATTAGATGCGATTAATCCGTGGACGCTTTGTTTTTCATTTTCTGTTGTTTCAATTTCGGTCGATGTGATTGTTTGCGTGAGCGCAAGTAACAAATTCTAGGTTGGCTTCAGTTCTACATCACATAATATTGTTAGTATTTGGTCGCGTGTGAAAAGTTAACGTTGTGATTGTTTTAGTTGAATGAATGCCGTGAGTCGATTTGATTTTTTTTTTTCAAAAAATAGACTGACTGGTCACCAAACGAAAATGTCAAAATCATCACACTCAAATCGATTTAGAGGCATTCATATGATTTGTCAACCGAATTGGAATTAGAAAGAAACAAAAGGACTTAATTGTAAAAATCGGGTCTAAATTAATTTGAACTCTTCGTTGCTATTCCATTGTAATGCAGAGAGAATGAATTAGAGACAATAGGCAAATGACACAATTGAAATTCATGTGAACTTCCATATCGAAATACATTTTATGACGACAAAGACGATGACTACGATGATGAAGATCATTCAACGTGCATAATGTGATCACGACGATGCAAACAATCGACGACCAATGGCCGTGTATCATGTAAATTAAAGCGTTAAAAAGCCACTTAGTTGCATGTCCGAGTTCTATTTTGCTGCAACGCACTTGAATTGAAATGATTGTGTGTGCCAAGTGGAAAATGTCGCGAGCGAGAGAGAGAAAAAGAAAGTGTTGAAATTGACGTAAAAGCGAAACGAATACGCTTCATTCGTATCGAATTACAAATTAGAGAAGCAAACGAAAAAAAAAAACAGGAATTCCAATTGATTAAATAGAGGAGAGACGAATGCTACAAAAGAACAACGAAAAGACTGAAGAGGGCAACAACCACGACGACCCGTTAACTAATTTTTTGTGTTACAGCTCTGCTCATTTTGTGCGAAATTCCTTTGTTTGGTGTTTTTTTGTGCGAAAAACGGTCGAACGGTCGCCACGGAAACTTGATTATTTTATCAACTGCGCCCATATCCACTCACACAAACATTGACTCATTCACACAACACACACATATCTCGTTTGGCAATTGTTGCAATTTAATGTGTATTTTTTTGACTTGAAAATTTGACGAAAAGAGAAAGAAAATGAGTGAACATTCGAACGAAAATTCATCGGCTGAGACGAATGTCGAACCGACCGTCGATCAAACGGAATCATCGATCACAACCACAGCATCGATAGCCTCATCATCGCCGGCTACATCACTTCAATCATTGTCATTGGCCACCTCAGTGAATGACGACAAAAATGAAAAACTCAAAATTACACTGGACAACCCGCTCAACACGTACTATTCCGGTCAAACGATCCGCGGTACGATTTCGTTGAACTGTAAACAGAAGAAGAAAATACGTGGTAAGTTCAACCAAATGATAACCTCCTTGTTTTGCCATCGCAGCGATTTTTTTTTCTTCTTTTTTCGCATAATGACGAAATGTTTGTTTTTTGTTGCAAAAATGAAAATACAAAAAAGTAGAGAGTATGAGTGAGAAGTGGTCGGAATATCGGAAGTGAAATTGCCGTTGCATCTGCCAAGAATGAAATAAAAATACCTAAGCAAATAACATTTATATAAAAATAATATTTGCTTTCGTTCTTTGTTTTATTTTTTGTTTCTCATTTCTTTCTCTCGACATTAGTGCAAAAAAAAATTGTTGTTTGTCTTGCCTCTTGTTTGCTCACTTTCGACATCTTCTCCGACGAGCACTACGATTATGTATCGATATCGAGACGGTGTTTCGTTTTCATTCATAATGTTGGAATAGACTTTCTTCTGTACGAGAGATGCAACCAATTCGAAGAATGTTTGCATCTACTTAAGCTCAATTTCACGATTGACTGCCTTTTGCTACGTACATACTTTGTTACTCTTTTACTCCTACACAATTTATTGGATAGGCAATTTAGATACGAGACTATAGTCTATGTAATAAAAAAAATATCTTTATGAAATCGCGCAAAAAAAAATTACATCACTAAATGAATGTGTATGTGTATATATGCGCATTTAAAAGAGTGCACCGAACACAATCGATATTCAGTTCATACCAAACGGATGTTTCACAATGTTTGCGCTTCATTTCAAATCACTAGAATTATAAAATTGATCAAAATGCAACATCATCAAATCCGCTACTTAAAATTCTACTTTGAATATCACGATTTCCGATCGACGATGCGAGTGAGAAAGGGAGAGAGAGAACGAAACTGAAAGAAAAAAACAAAAAGAGGCAACCGGCGTGAATTTCAAAATTGACAGCTAATCAAGAATCAATTGCAACATCAATCAGCCAAAATAACACAATATCAAAGTCGCATTTTTTTCTGCTTCGATAAGATATTTCTGGTCATTTTCAATGCATTCGATTGATGATTGCGAAACGGCTTTTTTCTAACCGTAATTGAAATAAATGTGTATAAATAAACCACAATAAATAGCCAATGAATCATCATATATTCATCTGACCCCTCTCGATATACTCATATTGTTTGTTTGTGCCGAGATGCGTGTAATTGATAAGAACATTGAATTGAGTGTATTGTGTTTGTGTCATGAGATTTCGGGCGAATAACACCGTTTGCATACTGTGACTGGTCCATTAAATGAGAAATGCAATAAAATTAACGATGTTTTTTTTCCATTGTTCGCAGGAATTTACTTTCGTATCATGGGATATGGCAAGTGTAGCTGGACGGATTTATTGCGGCGTGAATCAGTTGCGATTGAAGGCAAAGGTGAAAGATCGGCCATCAAATACTCGGGCAATGAAGAGTATCTCAACTCAACTATGTACATTGTTGGCTCAAAAAATGGTAATTGACACACAAACACACCAGATGTCATCATGTCACTGTTTCAGTTGAACTGATTCATAATGATGAGATTTTTTTCCGACATGCATTTTTGTTGGTCATAGATTCAATTGAAATTAATCAAATGACGACGATTATTTTTTGTTCAGGTCCATCATTCACATTACCGGAAGGCATGACGAATTATGAGTTCTCATTCAATCTCAAAGCTGAGCTGCCGTCATCATTTTCGGGTGGGAGCGGCAAAATCAAATACAAAATGGAATTTGTGGTCGATAAACCGTGGAAATTCGATGAAAGACAAACGGTTGTGTTGAACATCGTTCAAACGGTGAATTTGAATTATTCGCTGGGCACGTTGCAACCATTTGAAAACCAACTGACACGAAACATCGGCTACATCGGATCGGGCCCCATTAGCTTACACATTTTTGTGCCTGTTACTGGTTACGTAATCGGTGATAAGATACCTGTACAGGTAATTAGCATCACGTAGAATTTGCACCTCATGATATTTGTAAATTATGTTGAAATTTATCGCGTTGCTTCTTCTTCTCCAACAGGCCATTGTCACGAACCACAGCAAAGTGCATGTGGAAAAGTTAAAGTTTGCACTGAACAAAATCGTCGATTATCACAGCAAAGCACCTGGCTTGGCAATCAAGAGAGAGATACATCGCCTGCTGAAGAAAGAGGCGGGTGGCGTTAGCAAAAAGACTGAACAAAGATACGAACACAAAATCGATGTGCCAATGACGACTCCCAGCCAGGACTCAAAGACGAGCCGATTGATCCATATCAAATATGAACTGAAAGTCGAAGCAAAACTCGGTGGTCTCTATAAAAATCTCATGATTACCGTACCATTGACCGTTGGCAATGTGCCACATTCGATAAATGGTCGAGTGCAACCAGTGTTCCCGCAATTGCCTGACTTACCACCTGGGCTAACGATTCAACTACCACCGCACCCGGTTGGTTATGACGTTCGCCGCCTCAGTATGTCTTCAAACTCGAGCTTCCGCATAACTTCCAATTCATCGCATAGTGACAGCAACGCTTCGTCACACCAGTCTTCTATGGTGCACGATCATTCGAATTTAACGTTTCCAAGTTTGCCAAATTCATCGCTTGGTTCGACACAGGCCGCCATCGCCAATCTGTCGAGCTCAATGCAAAACATATCGACCGGCAGCAGTGACTTTCAACCATCTGCACCACCCATGGATCTCAATACAGCGAATGCTAGCAGCACACCCGTTCGACCGGCCACCGTTTACATGGACGCTCCACCGTCATACGACGAAGTCTTCGGCGCACCATCCACTTCATTCAATCGATCAAACTTCTCAAATTCATCATTATACAATGCGTCAATTGCAAAAACGTAACATGGCAACCGAGTTCTGTGTCGGTCCCATGAATTGAATCGAGTCTCATTCGTTGGACGCCCCAAAACAAACGAAAACAGTGATTTTTTTTTATTCAGATTTTTTTATCACTTCAAGTATAATTGAACAAACAATAATTATTGTAGCCAAATAGAAAATTTCTATTAGAAATGTGTCTGCTATTTTCTGCTTAGCAAAATGTAGTTATGCCCATGTTTAAAAGATATTTATATTGTTATATCTAGCCCAATGTTGAGCAAAGCCGTTCTTGGTATAGTTCTTTTTATTTTTTTTTTGGAGGAAATTGTGAAAACTGAGACATTTTTATCAGTTTGATAAGAAAAGGGCTATTTCATGAACGGCTGTGACCATAACGAACAATGTTACTTGTATTAAAACTCATTGTAGGCACCACTAACTAAACTACACAACTCACTATCGCACACTATCCCATAATGATTTTAAACCATACACATTGGTACTTGAGTTGACCTCTTGCCATATAATTGTCATCCATCACCTACACATATGCACAAATGCCCAACACGCGCAAAATTGTCAAAATTCATCAAATGATTTTTATTCACTTGAAAATTCGAAATTTTCTTTCTAAGTTTTTTCTTCTTGGAAACACAAACTTTATTTAAATACTCATCATTTTGATCAAAACAAATGTAATAATTCTTCATTTTTATCGAAGTGGTTCTATTTTTACCCAACTCTGAGAAAAATATGAAACGGACTCATTAGGGATAATCACAAGCCGATAAACTGAACTCTTAAGCAAGACGGATTATTTGTTTGTTGTTTTTTTCTGAATTTCATGAAAACTTTTGGTTTAATCAGTGATTATTATAACTTTTTTTATAACTAAATAATTCGAATAAGAATTTTAAAAGACATTGCGAAAATCATGTCAGATTATTCATTCAGATTCATTCATAGACATTGTGTGTTTTTCCCGAGAGTATTTTATTTTTATTTTATTTATCAATGTACTGAACATGTACGCAAAAGTCTCTGGTAAGAGAGAAAAAAAATCATTTTTATTTCTTGAATATTCTTCACAATATCGTTTTCCATGACATAGCTGATTAAGTGGAAATAACAATTGAAATTAATTGAAACTGCCTTTTTGTATAACCCAATGCGTTGTCTATCCAAACTATTAAAATACTGAAATGTTTTTTTTTTAGAGAAAGCAGTAGATTTTTCGCTTGTTGCGATTTGTGCTTAACGCCAAAATCAATAAAAAAAATTAAATGGAATCTTCCGTTTTTTTAAATTAAGTTTTCAAAAATAAAATTTGTTTTGAAAAATATGAAAAAAATATTGTTTTCTTCTGAATTAAATTTTTCATCGACTTTAAATAGCAGCAACTTCGAATGAAATCAAAGCCCAAAATTGAATTGATTCTAACGGAAATCAAAGCTTAGTTTAAATTGGCTATTGCCAATTCCAAGGAGCCGTATTTGCCTATATTAAATTACAGCCCAAAGAAATTCTCCGTAATAACGAGCATGCATCCAAAGAAATCAGTGAGTGTTTGAGTCAATTAAGCGTTCATGTGTCGTCATGATGGCTATTTCTGACGAATATTTTGGTTTTCACATACAAATGACACCAACTTTCGTGCCACCAACACAAATCTCTCTCTCCCTTCCCTTTTACATTGCTTCTCGTCTTGAATTTGCCTATACTCAGTCGGTCAGTGTGAAACAAATGTGCGTACGAAACGCCATCAAAAACTGCGCTCCGAATTGTGAATGTGTTAATTTCGTAATTGTTGCTATATACACATGAAATGTTTGTGTGATTATGCATATGATCTGTAATCGAACGGTTTGTTTTATTGTATCTAGCAATTTGACGCCGACGAACGACACTCGGTTTGAGTTGCAGAGCATTTGATATATTAATTTATTATTAGTCGTTGCTCACAGGCGAATGGTTAAGGTTGTGATTTTGAATTGCTGCGCATTTGATTTGAAGTGAGTTGACCGTGTGTAGTGAGTCAATCGTTCAGGAGAGAAATCAACAGTCACCAACCAAGACAATGGATCCGTCGACTGATCAATCGAAATCTTCTTCGTCGCCAGTCGATGAAAAAATTGCCAAACTCAAAATCGTTTTGGACAATCCAAATAACACATATTATTCCGGTCAGACGATCCATGGCACGGTTTATTTGAACTACTCCGAAATTCGTGGTAAGTAATAATTTGTGGTTTTGCTGGCATGGCAATAATTCAAGCGGTGTCATGTTGAAGTGTGTTGTGCGAAAGCAGGTAACAAAGAAAAACGGTGCGTTTGGGAGTGTCGTACATCAAAAATCAAAGTCGCAAAACAAAACATGAGATTAGCAAAATGAAACAAAACAAAAATAGATATACCGTGTCTTTGTTCTCGGTCGTGTTATCATTAAGGAATTCAAGTACATACCTTTGCCTAGAAAATGCAATGAATTTTTGCAAGACAGTAATAAATTTGGTTTTTTTTTCTGTGTTCACTCATAGGAATTCATTTTCGTGTCATTGGAAAGGCCAAGTGTGCATGGACCGAATGGTTTGTACGAGAATCAAAACCAGCTGACGGCAAAAGTGAAACATCAGACTCCAGATATTATGGCAAAGAAGAACATTTGAATCCGGCTGTGTATGTTGTCGGTGCAAAAAACGGTAATAATGAACATTTAACTGTATGTGAGGAAAAAACCATAAATTGATTTCCATGGAATCAGTGACGCATTCGATTTGCGTGATACAGTGAGTGTGTACACGTTTGATCACGAAACTGTCTACTATTGAATATAGGAAGAAGCAAAGTCGAAACTATAAAAAGTTGATTGAGAAAGTGAGTCATATCGCTTGCGGTTTGGTTTGTTGATACATGTTGATTCATGACATCAGACCTTGGCGACTGCTTTCTCGTACCAATGAACTTAACTTATCTCAGCCTTTGTTTGTTTCATTTTTTTGTTTCTACAATCTAAATATAAATAAAACGAGTTTTGCTGTTAAATTCGAAATTTGTTCCAGGTCCATTTATCACACCGGAGAAGAGCTACCGATTCTCGTTTGAATTGAAATCTGACCTCCCGTCAACTTTTCGCAGTGAATACGGCGAAATCAAGTACAAAATGAAATTCGTTGTCGACAAACGATGGTGGAATGAGAAGCAAAAAATTACGTTTAAAGTTATTAAAAATGTGAACTTGAGCCAAATACCCGCAACGTTGCAGCCATTTGAGAATCAACTGACAAAAACCTACGGCATGATTGACTCGGGTCCGATCAGCTTACACGTGGCAATTCCAAAGCGTGGATTCATACTTGGAGAGAAAATTCCAATTACGGTACGTGAAAAGACATTTGAAAGAACAATTGAACCCGTGAGCATAAAAACGACTTATTAAACAATCGCCGAACAAAACGATACAAGAAAAAACTACCAAACAAAACACACGTTAAAAACGTAACACAGCAGGACGGTACCGTTCAAAACGAAACTCCGCTGTGCTACACATTACCGCTGTGGTACGTTTTGTTTGGTAGTTTTTTCTTGTATCGTTTTGTTCGGCGAATGTTTAATAAGTCGTTTTTATGCTCACGGGTTCAATTGTTTATTGCGAATCATTTGTTTTTACAATATATAGAAAATAGTGTAGCGATTATTGCTTGAGGATTATTACTTTTATTATTATTCTTTGTTTTTTTATTTGATTTTGAATTTTCAATTTGTTTTCATTAAATCTGATCGGTTTTGAAAGTCTAAATTTTTCTTGAACCAACTCACTCTTAGGTGACTGTCGCCAATTCGAGCAAACTGCACGTTGAAAAGCTGAAATATTTCCTGTACCAATTTGTGGAATATCACAGTACGGCTCCAAGTGAGCGTATCAGAACCGATAACAAGCGTATTTTGAAGAAGGAATGTGACGGTGTAACGAAAAAGTCGGAGCAAAAATTTGAGCTTGTAATTGATGTACCAGAAGATCTACCGCCGAGTCAGGATAAAGCATCGAGTCGCTTGATTCACATCAAATATGAGGTGAGAGTCGAAGCAAAACTTGGAACTCTTCAAAAGAACCTAGTCATTCAGACTCCAATCACAATCGGCACTGAGCAAGTTACACTTCGACATTGGGTGCCACAACCACAATCACCGAATCCTGTGTTGTCTCATGTACATTCTTACATGAGTTTAGAGATTTTGCCACACGATCAAAGCAATAGATCATCTGTGTTGTCACAATTTCCCATTTCACCAATGTACACCATTTCACCGTCATACCCAGTTCCGATTTCACCATCATATCCACAAGCATATGTCAACTCGCCAATCGGCTTGGTGTCAAACCCATCGATCGGATCACATATGAATCGATTTTCATGTTCATCACAAAGCCCACAACAGATCAATCCATACCAACCGACCGCACCACCAATTTCTCCGCATGATTTCAATGCAAGTGTTGCAGATCGACCGACATCGCTGTTTGTTCCACCTTCCTACGATGAAGCATGTGGCAATTCGCAAGGCCTTCGCTTTAATCAGTCAAACTACACAGCTCCTGCGGCTTTGAATAATATTCCAAGCAAATCCTAGATTAGACAGTGGAAACGATAAACTGTACTCACGATTATTTTGATTTAATTTGACATAGTTTTATTTTTTGATATGATTATGTAATTGGAATTAAGTCTTTATAACAAATTCAGTCGTTTCAACGAAAAATTCGTTTTCTATTTCATACTCCATTTTGTTTCTAAGCCATAGTCTATACTTTAGCAATGAAACAGAATGATATCAATGTGCCATTTGCTCAAACTTTAGCTTACACCTAGTTGATAGATGAGTTTTATCGTAAATTAGCTCAGGAATATACATTTTCATTTCATGTCAGGCCAAAAAAAAACCTGAGTTTAACTACTTTTCTCAAATTTGTTTTAGCGTTTACTTTAGTGATATATTTAATTTTTTTTTCTACCGTAAGTTATCCAGTATTTTTTCTATGTTCAAACGCACTTTCTGCCTTATTCTATTTGAAATTTTGAAAATGAAATAAATGAATAAAAGAAAATGAAAAGAAATGGTTTTTTGTGTTCATATCGTTCTGACGATACTTCTGATTGATCGTGTTGGAGAAAAAATGTTGTTTTTGTTCTTGCTGGTCTAAATTAGGCCTTCGCTTTTCAGAACATCGATGATTTTGCTGGATTTGCATTGTGCGTCCTCGCCATTGTGTTGAACCTCGTCGAATGTGACTTTTGTGTATGGCTGAATGAGCGTCTTCAGCCGTTCCACGACCGCTGGACTGAGCTTGTCATTCACGCCTGCAAAACAATGGATTTTTTTTTTCATTATTCCGAATCACAAAGAGTTGTTTGTCATCGCGTGACTTACCCTCGATGAAGCAGAGCAAAGTGATGCACGGGAAGAAGAAATCCAATTTCATTTCACGGATTCGATCGGCTGGAACCGCTTCCATGTTTCCGTAGTCCAGATAAATCAAATTGTACCGATCACCCTCGAGCTTCTGTTGAGCAGTTGCACGATACCAGCGTTTGTCATCAGCACTCTGGGCCAAACAGGTTTCACCATCCCTGAAAAAAGCAAAAGACTACCATGAAAATGTGTCGCCGAAAAGGTTATGTCAAATTTTCACCGTGGATGGAATGGTTCAGCAGCTTCGATTTCCTTCACATTTTGGTTGACAATGCCATCGTTCTTGGCTAGCATGGACATATCCGATTCTTGTACCGCACTGAAGCACCCGATTTGCATGAAACTGTTGTCGAGCACATACAGTGTCATATTCTTACCAGAAATGCCAATGAACTCGATTTCCTAATAATTCAACGGAACGAAATATCGATGTTAAGTCATTTGCCATTAGTTCAAAAACGAAACTATCTGTAAACATTCTAATTGCAATTCTTTTCGGTAAATAAACTCACCCGTCGATTTGCAGCCTGTGGCTGTTGAATCTCCTCGACGATTTCCATCTTCTTCGATGGCGATTCAACGCTGTTCAATTCCTTGATCGTTTCATTGATTGAGCTGAAGTTTTCTCCGTGCAGTAGCGTTGCACGGAAGTGAGCCGAAACATTTGACTTTTCGATCGGTTCCAATTGCTTGATAATCAATTCCGTTTGATTCTCCTGCAATTTGATCAGTAAGTTCATAGCATCTTGAGCAGTTTCCATTTCATCTGGAATGCCTTGCAATGTGAGCATGTTGATCAATCTTGGAACGTTCACCAATTCCTCGGACAGACATTTCAATTCATTGAAGCGCACAATTTCGGTGAATCCATACTCCATGAATTCGACTTTGGCAATTTCGTCTTGTGCACGAATGCGTTTGATCAGCGCACGTGAAAAAGTGTCACTTGATTTTGGCTTTGCCAAAACGATGTGGCCTGCCTCGGGTAGATTTTTCAGTGGTTGTGCTTTGGCGGCATACTTATTTGTGCGATCAATCAGTTCTTTCCATTCTTTGACATCGAAACTTGGCACCACAAAAATGGTTTGGTGATTTTCCACGTGTACCACAATGACTTGAGCCTTTGATTGAACCACGCGCATCGAAGGATTGAAGTTTTTTGGCTTTTTCGGTGTCGGTGGTGGTATAACAACCTTTACCACTTCTGGTGACACATTGACCGGTTTGACTGCACTTGGCGCGCTGTAATTGGCATTTTCATCGACTTTCGCAACGTTCGCAACCGGTTGAACGATTTCGGGTTGCACCTTTTTCGGTGTCACCGGTGGTGTGCTTAAAACTGCAGCAACTTCAGTTAAACTTGCCTTCAAATCCGTTCGTTGAGACTTCAATGTACTTTCCAGTTGCAATTTGTTCAAGCTGGTGGTCAATTTCGCAACTTGTTCCTTTGTCATTGGTGCCGATTCACTTGGTGCTGAGCTTTCGGAAATGTTGCCAAGCGCGTCGGTCGCATCATATCCATGTCCACTTGCATCCATCAACATTCGATTGAGCGGAAACGCGTTTCCATTCACTTCACGCTGCAAAAGCCGACTGTTTATTCCGAAAAAAATGAGAAAAAACCATTGAAATCATTCGTATCTACACCAAATGATCACATTTTTTTTGGTTCAATCAATTTCTTCAATTGTGTACTTACGGAATTGGCATGCAAATGCGCCGATGTTCACGCCAATCGGTCACTTGACACATCTTTGAACAGTAGGTCTCACCGCATCGTTCACATGAAAAATTGCCGAATTTGCTGCAAACTGCACATTCATGGGTTACCGGTAGCATTTTTTTCGATATCATTTTGTCACTATTGATTGTTTCCATGAAAAATCACCAGAAAAATGCTTGAAATCTCAATTGATTCGTATATTGTATCACTGATTTTATGATTAATGAGTGGAAATGAATTTTTACAGAAATTTTTCTCCGACGAAAAACACGTGAATGCAAAAAGATGCGAGCACTTTGGAATATGGCGTCGAAATGAACGAGAGATTACAGCGAAATATTCCGCATAACGGACTGCTCGATTGGTACGTAGCGTGTGACAAGTGGGACAGAGAAAAGAATACCACAGTGAATCGAATCGGTATCAGCAGACATTCAATGCAAGTGAACACAACGATCTCGTATCCAATGTTGCAGACTTGCCACTTTTGAAGAAAAAAATGGCGGTTTTTGCTGAGCACATCATTTTCGTGTTTGTCGACGACAAACCGTTCGGCATATACGCATATTTTGTTTACTAAACAAACACTTTGCACTTATCCTGTCTTTATGTCGCTTATTCATGGGGTTTGAACGATTTTTGCTTGGTTCATGAACAATGAGTCCTTTGAAACATTTTCAAAAGAACATTCTCTTAGTCTCTCGTATTGAAATAAATCGTTTCAAATGAAATTGATTCACGCGGTGACATTTTCATATCAAATACACTCCAAACGTAGCATTGTGAAAAAAAAAATCCCAACAATATTAGTCACAGCTAATCATAAGAGGTCATACACTGACAATTAATGTAAATTGGACATGTTCATCAGATGCGTAAGCGAAATTCATTTCAAACACGATATGCTACGGCGAATAATTTAAAATTAACCTATATATCGACGAGTTAATCATTCGCATTCCGTAAATATTTACTGGCCGGTTTTGTGTGTGCCTGTGCATTCGATTGGTTGCCGCATCGAAAATAGCCATAGACATGTGCGTTGTGTTGACAGCCGCAACGCTCTGAGCTCTATTTCGCCGTTCGATTCGAATGCGGTAGTAACAGTATGTTAATGTGTAGCACACACAATGTACACGGTCGCTTCGGGTTTGACTGTGTGTGCGTGCGCTATCCATAGGAATGTCTCTGTTTGACACAAACACACGTAGCGCTATTTTAAAGCCGATTTCTAAATGAGTGTGTATGTTGGAACACATTCAAATGTATGCCGTTCTCATGTTGCTCCGATAACTTTCAATACGATATCAAAAGCAACTCGCTCACAACACGAATCGGTTCAGTGTGCCTTTAGAATTTATTTGGTTGAAAGTGTGATTCAAGAGGTTTTACATATTTTTTCAAGCGCTCATACGAATATTTGGGTGTGTGTTTATTTTTTTTCTCGTTCATATTTTGCCATCAACAATCGATAAACTTGTATTTTATTTGCTGGAAAAATTGCGACATACACAATTTCGATGATTGTTTAAAAATCCATCTCGAAGTTTCTCTCTCTCTTTTCTTTTGATTTCAAGTGCAAATATTTTTATACATAATTAACTATTATGTCGATGTTGCATAAAAATAGAACATGTTTTTAGCTAAATTTTCATCGACAGAGAAAGAAATTTGAAGAACTATTCGAACAGTGGATCGGAATTTATGTGTCTGAATGTCGATTATTATGACATTTGTGAGGCGCGTAGAATTTGCATTTGTGGCACTCATTCGTTTCAAAACACTCCATCTAATCAGCTGAGACAGTGCTAAAAACATAGCCATTAGGAATTTTGATGTTTTTCTTCCAATTGGAATCATTATATTCTGTAGCTTCATTTTTTTGTCGATTGACATAAGTGTTCAGAGCGAGTTTTTGCTTTTTCACAGATTTTGCCGTTGTTGTTGGGATGTTGCGGTCGGCTAACGAGTGATGACGTCATAACATTGTACATGTATTGAATTGAAAATATTTGTGCGGCATAAAAATACGAGACAACTACTTAACACAGCATCAGCAAACATCAAGTTTTTGCCTGTAGATTTCAAAGTACCTGCAAATTTTGATTTTTTTGACAACGAAAATTTAAAGGAAGTGTGAACAACAACGAACAATGGGTTTGCAAGACTGTGAAATCACTTTGGACAATCCATGGAATACTTATTATGCTGGCCAAACATTAAATGGCCAAGTGAAACTTGCACTCAATTCACCCAAAACCATTCGAGGTACGTACAACGTTGTCTTTTGCACATTCAATTGATGGTAATCAAATGAAATTCAATTAAATTTCGACCGAAAAAGGCATGCAACACTCAAAGAATTCCATTTGTCAGAATGATATTAAAAGTAATTTGTTTTTTTCTTCGTTCGGTGATTCAGATGCGGTTTATTTACTGATAAAATACAGCACATGTTTACAAACCGATTTTTTTCGTCAACTTGTTTGCTTTGAACTTTTTTTGTTGGGTTTAAGCAATCAAGAATTTTAAGACAACCTCTGTGTGGATTAATCCAAATTTCGCTTATCAGAATTTGTTATTTTACATGGAAAAGAGTTTGCACTGTCATCTTTTTAATATCTCTTCATTTTAAAATCACCAGAAAATTAATTTTTAGAATCTAATGAGACGATCTTTGGGTCGTACCGATAATTATTCCAATTAAAAGTGAGGAAATAAAATGCGGTTTTGATTTGTTTTGAATTATTTATTCAATACATGGGGATTGGTTCTTATATTGCTAGTGCATTTGATAGTGAATTCAATCACACTGGAATCGTATAAACCACTCCGAATAAAATGCACTAGCTCATACGAACATCGATTATTTAGATAGAAGTCCACAGGTTATAGGACACATCACCATCGGTGGTATCAAATCCGGCGTAGTAAGTGAGAATGGGCAAGTTTTTCGTGGCTATTGCGTCTAATTTAAAGGTTCCCTTTGTATATTCTCTTACATTGAGGGCTTTACCAGATGGGTTGAGTGGATTTTGTGTTGGGGTCACTTGCCATCTTTGCCCACTATTTCTGTCGACCACTTCAAGAGTGTTTGAATCCAGCATAGTTATTTTGTAATTATCATCAGAATTAGATTGAACACTTTCCATTGACAATTTTCCTCCCGTTTGGGCGCATACGTGCGCTTTGGCATTACATGCAGATTCGAAGACTAAAAAAGATTAGATAGAAAAACTAAGTTGAAAGAAATTTCATTTTGTCACATGGAGCAGTTTAATTTACTGTTAACACTGGGCGTATTAAAAAATCCTTTGAAAAAGTCATCAAAATCTGTGGCCTAAAATTCACAAAAAATTAACACAACATTTGAAGTAAAATACGAGACACTTTTACATCACCTGCGATGCATGGATGTTGCCACACAAAAACACAGCGAATGTTATCAAAATAATCTTCATATTGAACCACAGTATTTATCTTTCACTTCAGTTTCCGATTCGTTGTCACTAGTCAGTTCCAAGTAATACGACAATTTGTTTCGATTTCCCCTCGATTCGGACAATTTATAGCACCGGTGTGGAATTTCACCGAATTGTAACACTAGAAAAATGAAATGTTTTTCATGCATTTTTCAGGCTTGTTCTTCGAACTACACGTACAAAATGCGTCATAGTTTTCGCATATTTTTTATTTGGAATTTTTAATACAAATTGCTTTGCATCAAAATTGTTTTAATTTCGACAAAAGACATCATTTAATCGAATTCAACCGAATATAAATATTTTTTTCTACGACAAACGCAACAATTTATATCATTTCTGAAACAACTCCAGGAGGGTGATTCAAAGTGGACCTGTAATTGACATAGCACATTTGGGAATGTGTTTATTTGATCTGTTGTTTCAAGTTAAGAGCCAAAATGTATAACATTCAAAAAAAAGAATCAACACCATTTTTCGATATTATTTTGGCAAAAGTCTAGACTTATGTTTTGCAGTTGACATGCACAGTGCACACAACATTCAACATCTTTTCATCGTTATAATTGACTTGCAGGTATCATCATTCGATTTTTGGGCGAGGCCAACACAAGTTGGAGTGAGACGAAGAAGGTTCGCGACGATCAAGGTAAAGAGCATGATGAAACCGAGGAATTGACCGGTCACGAGGAGTATTTTGAGAATCATTATTATTTGTTGGGCGCTAAGAATGGCGCTGAAATCAATTTGCCGGCTGGTGAACACACTTATCCGTTCACCTGTGTCCTACCGCAAAATCTTCCATCATCGTATGAGGGCGAATTCGGCCACGTTCGATACACCATCAAAGTGGTAAGAAAAATTACATACATGAATCGATTAATAGTTAAATAATTAACAACGTTTTAATAATTACAATTTTCTTTTTGTCAAGACTTTGGACAGACCATGGAAATTCGACCAAGATACAAAAATGGCATTTACCGTCATTTCACCATTGGATTTGAACCAAAATGCTCGTCTCAAGGTGTGTTGAAATTTTTTAATCCGAATGTCGTTTTATCATTTTTTTTTTTGGAAGATTAATCGTTTAATCCGATTTGATTATTTTGTACATTTTTCCATCCGAATAGGAACCGATGCGATTGAGCCTTGAAAAAACGTTCTGTTGCTTCTGCTGTAAATCCGGACCACTCGAAGCTGATGTTACAATACCCGGTATCTATTATTATCTTCAACTCAGTGAATGACGGAATTTCTTTACCGTCGGCCAAATCAATGCAAATATTCATTTGCAGATATTTATTTGACGCCCACATTTGAAATAAATTTAATTATTTCTATTAATTTGTTTGTCTAGCTGGTGGCTATGTTCCTGGTCAATCAATTCCGATTTCGGCCGAAATCAACAACGCCAGTAACATCAAAGTGGATCGGCTTCGCGTCATTTTGCGCAAAACGGTTGTTTTTAAGACAAACTCTCCGCGTCGCGACTTGAAAAAAGAGAAAACGACAATCGCTGAAATATCCGTTGGCCCAGTTGATGGGCACAGTTCGAAGAATTGGCAACAAAACATCGAAATCCCTCCGTTGCCACCATCCAATTTGATTAACTGCGGAATCATTGACTTGGACTATGAGTTGAAGGTGGGTTGTACTTGGAAAAAAATATCGTATCAAGTGTTTGTTTTAACTAAATTGAAGTGGTTTATTTTTCATAAGAAAATTGAACGCAATAACATTCTAAAAATGGCCGCGGAAAACAAGAAAAAATCCGTATCCAATTATATGTTTTATCAATTCGAATATAGATTGAGTTGAATGTGTCTGGCGCTCATCGCGATTTGGAAGGAAAATTACCAATCACCTTGGGCACCGTTCCGTTGGCAACGACACAATTGCCGAACACGGCACCGTATACAGATGTGCCACAGCAGCAACCATCTCAACCAGTTCAAGATCCATCACAGGCACCTACTCAGCCAGTCTCTCCAGCTAGTCCACCAGGTGATTCGAATACGGCCGGATGGAATTTGTATCCATCGATTCGTAAGTGTCATTCGATTTCTGTTGAATTTTCATTCGATATTTTCACATTTTCCACCTATTCAATCGAATAACTCACTTTATTTTCCAAACAGCACCACCATCGTATGCAGAGTCAGAATACCGTGCCAATATCGTTGATAAGAACGATTCTCAACACACTCGATTTGCTGGTGGTCAGGATCAATTCGCTCCGAGATATCCCGTTTACGCGGGACAAACTCTTCCAACTGCACCAAAACCACAATAAATAACCGTATCAACCAGCTTATCTGCTAATCTACCGTAAACCGCGACCAATTTTCAAACATTTCAAATGAGAATGCAGCTCGAACGTGGGATTCAATCCTGAAGATGAAGAAGAAAGGGAAAAATAAATAGGAACAACATTGCACACATGGAACATAACAATAATTGATATTATAACATAGTAGCAACGAGTAGAGATACGAACTCAATTAACGAAACAAAAAATAAAAACATGAAATCACGTGGCCTACACACATACCAATCAATTCCAAAATATGAAACATAATCGTCATACGCACAAATTTTTCTATCCAAGTGGCTTGAATTTAAACAAAATTTATGTTTTTAATTGAAATAATGTGCTTTAAAAATATACTATACGAGGGTAACTATTTATATTTTGCGCCTAACCAATTTTTAGTGTTGCCAGATGCAAACTGGAACTTCCATTGGAAAATTTGACATTTTTTAGGAATAAATACGTTGACAGATCGAAAAAAAGTTTGCCCCTTTGGTTACACCAGCCCTTCAAAGTGAGGTCCATTTGTATGGGAAATTTTAGGGATTTTTACTCATTGCCATTGTGAAGACAATAAGTATGGCCGGATCCCAGTAATTATGTGTTTGTTAGTCACAATCAATAAGCAACACAATGGCAGTTCAAGTTGTCCTCAGAAGGTGCTCAGTATGGCTAACTCGTCAAAACTTTTTTTTGTATGAAAATGGGGTAGGACCACACTTTGAAGGGCTGGTGTAACCAAAGGGGCAAACTTTTTTTCGATCTGTCAACGTATTTATTCCTAAAAAATGTCAAATTTTCCAATGGAAGTTCCAGTTTGCATCTGGCAACACTAAAAATTGGTTAGGCGCAAAATATAAATAGTTACCTACGTATACACATATGAATTTTAATCTCTTCGCACGCATCCTCGATGGTTTTGTCCAGAGGATTGCGTTTTTATGTCAGCTTTTTGTGTATCTATATGATTTTTCGGTTGGGAGGACAATTTTTTTACTTGTATTTTTTGTACAATCTATTAAATACATTCAAATATAGCTTTGTCATTCTCGAAAGTAAACAAGAAAACACAAAGGAAATGAGTTTCATTTTGATTTGTTCTGAAGACGATCACCTTGATTCTAACATCTTTTCTAAATAATAATAGATAAACATAGCATATCCGGCCAAGAATCATTCCTCTTATTTTTTTATTCATATTTTTATGATTGAAACCAGTTTTCAATTAGAGTGAAATTCATGCAAGCATTTCTCATAATTCGTTTCCTGCTTTTATTTTTGCAATTCACAGTAACATATGATATAACGAAAATGGAAAGTGAATTCATTATGTATTTACAAATACCAACATTGAGCTGAAGTGTCAGAGTCAAACGATAGAATTGTATGACGCAAGAGGGCGCCGCTGAACTAACTGAGCAACTACATTCCGATTTCATGTCCAAAAAATGATTTGAATCGGTGACACTCACCATCGTGTACTTTAAACAGAGATTCGAATTTCAGTTGAAATACTTCGATTTTGTCTGAATACAAACACATTCGTATTTGGCTTCAATTGTTCAAATCCAAATGAAGTCAATATTGAGTGATGATTTTATGCCTTTTCCATTATTAATCATTGATAATTATAATTTTTTGAATGAATGAATCAGTGATATTCGCCATAAGACCAAGGTTGTTTTGCTAGCTGTTGTAATAAGTGTATTCTACCATTCATATAGTATAGACAACTTGCAGGCGTTTTCACATGAATCAAAGCCTTACTCCTTTTGATCAGTCGCTTAAACCACATAAGGTAATTGATCTCCTTCAGTTTATCGAAATGTTCAACGTAAACAATTTCTTTGAATTAAAATGTAATTTAAAAAATCTTCCAATTCAAGTAAGACAATCACTGTCCATATTTTGACTGTGATGGAAGAGATGAAAGAATTTTAGTTGCTACAAGTGAATCGATAAATAACTCAACCTCATTTACTTTAATTTGATTTGCCTCCTTTTAATAAATTGCGAGAAAAAAAGCAGCAACAAAAGCAGTCAAGTTCATAAGCTAAATGATATAAAAAGTTGGTAATTGGGTAAACTTCGTTTTTGGTCAATTTAATGTGGTTTTGTCGAGTACCTCGGATCGATCGATATACGTGAGCGTATTTGCGTTTCCAATAAATAATATTACAGAAAAATAACATGGTCGATTACAATCGACACATGTAGTAATTTAATAATGACACATAATTGCGGCGTAAAAAAATACGCCTTTCCACTGGATATAAAAATTTACATTAAAAATTCGAGGAGAGTGCCGAAAAAAAGCACAACATTTAAAGTGACGCACTCTTTGTGTGTGTGTATGTATTTGGTTGTTATCGTTGGCAGCGGGAGAGAGAGCTCTTCGGAGATTGGATTTCGGAGAAGGCGTGATTGATTTTTTTTCTCGCTTCGGATTCATTTAAATATTTATGGTTTCTGCGGTAAATCGTAATGAACCAGCGTAACCGATTCGATAGTGCGATTTGTTAGCACTTCTTTTTATGTTTGTGTGTGTTGTTTTCTCCATCGCGGCGGAATTTTATGTGAATGTTTACATCAAGCAATCAGCAGATTGACGAGAATTGGACGGATTGAAAATTGGCTGGTCGATAAATAATGCCTTTTATCGATCGATGCAGCGCCTACACGTAAATCGAAATTAACACTTGCATACATTTTGTGTATTTCGGTAGTTAAATTTTATGACATTAAATGCGAAAGGCTGTGAGCGCACAGCCAAACCTTTCCACTGAAATCGGTATTGACAGTAATTTTTCAATTAATGACAACAAACTCATTACCAATTACAATAACGCCAATCGATCTTGTTAAAATCAATTGAACGAAATGCTTCAAACACTTCGATGTGGCTGTTCCGCAAAACTCAATTCTTTTTTCAATGCAGAAATTCAATTGAGTTCTCACAATTTCATAATGGCACCGCCATAAATTGGCGATGCCCTTCGTTTAACCTCAGCATTAAGACTTATCGAGACACACACACACACACAAAAATGTGGATTATTTATCGGGCGGGCTGTTTGGCATGCCGATACGTGCGCTTTTTGACTTCGTTTCGATTGCGTCTGAAGTCACCAATTGAAACACCAAATCTCCCATTGTGCTTTGATACGTTGATCACTTACTGCAAGCATCATACCGTTTCTAACAATGCAGCTATTGCCACAGGCTATCTGATCACGAACTACAAACAATACACAATTCTCCATTCCAACGTGGTTTTGTGATCAAATCACTTTTTTCTTTTGTTGCTTCTAATTCCAAGGAAATCACGCTGAACCCCATGTCAACAGAGCATCGATATCGTTTTAACACTTGAAATTGTTATTGCCGCAACGTTTGTTGTGCGCAAAAACTTAGCTATTCCAATGATTATGCGAAGGAGAATGATGATTTGAATAATTTTGATCATGGAATTTAGTTCAGTATCCAAGATACATACTATCCATATTCTATAGCGGCACTTAACTTTTGATACTTGAATTTTATTTATAACATTTATTTCTACTTATAGGTAAGAGAAAAATAGACTTTTTTGTTATCTTGATCGAGTCAAGGCATCATTTTTGAGAATCGTTTTTTTCATACGATGCAATTGATGTCATCAATTTGTCAAGGCGCATAACCATTGCTGTTCAAAGAAAGAGCAAAGTGAAAAAAAGTTCACATTTTTAAGTGGAAATCTAATCCGATCTTCTTCAATGTATTTTAAATGGCATTGGTTAGTAAAAGCCGAGCTTCTGCTACTGAATTAATACTCTTGTTCCCTAGCTTGCGTGTGGTACTAGCGCAGTGCAACAACATGACAAATGCCATATACAAATGCTTGTGTCTTCCGCTAGTGAAAGGAGTTCAAAAATCCCATTGAAAAGCGATTTAGAATTGAATTAATTGAATCGTTTATTTTGGATGTCATAAAAATCAATTTGATTGATCCGAAGCATGTTATTATGATCTATCATGAAATGAGTGTGTCGAATTATCTGTTTTGATTGAGGTAAATGGGTTTGAATGGCGATCAAATAATACAACAACAGCCAACCCAGCCACAGTGCACTTAATCTTATGCTCTACAATGAGTTTTGATACCTGATTTTGTAATCGAGCCAATGCAATAAAACGAAGGGACAGCAATAAATTGTCTAAAATTGATCGATAAATTGAAATTTATGAAATTTAAATAAATCAAGTCCACCAAAAGTAGATTCGGTTTTTTACTCTCTTGTTCATTCCATTAATAAAAGAAAATACAAATATATATCGAACACGAACGAAGTGAAAAAAAACCCGAATGCGCTCAACATATTTTATTACGTTTTGTTTTCGAAGCGCCCGCCTTTTCATTGATAAACCACCTTTGCATGCATACAACCGACTATACGGCAAAATGCACGGCGCACCAAACAGTTTTATTATACTTAGGCACTTAAATGCATTATTCGCGGCCAATTTTATGCTCGAGAAATTTAAGAGCTGCAATAAATTTTGCGCACTCACATGAAGAAATGAATGAAGTTGTTGCACATTTTCACTTGTAAACCGACACCATCATCGATTTGGTGCACAATTTAATTTCGGTAATAATAAAAACGCAATTTACGAACTATTGTATCGAATGGGGTGGGCGGTCATGCATTTGCTTGGCATCGTTTTGTTCGCGTAAAATTTACGCGACCACAAATTTACTGGCGCAGAAGAAGCAGAAAAGAGTCTATAACGCTCTTGATGGATTTCAAGATTTCCTGCGATAAATTACAATCATGGAACACGTATGGCGTTTAAAAGGACCCAAACACTTTTAAAATATCATTTTTATTGAGCTGAGGCGTGAAATGAAGAGAATAAAAATGTCATTAGTTCCATTCGAACTGGTGGTTTTTTCTTACTGTCGAACGTTTCGTATTTTTGTAACTGTATCTTATCGGTTTGATTCGCAGAAATTTGCACAATGTTCACAAATATTTGATCGAGGTCTTTTGCAATCGTGCTTCACTAGTAATTTTGAATCGGGGAAAAAAATTCCTACGCACCGATTGCCTAGCATCAAATGAACTGAACGACCGAGACATAGATTTCGACTATATCACTGTGCGAGCACACATTTGGAAGTTTGGTTCAAATCCATTGAGACAATCATTTCAATCATGAATAAATTCCCGAGTGTGAAAAACACAGAGCATCGCCTTGCAACCACTGGCAACGGCGATGTGTTACGTGTAGCGGCGTCGTGAGTCATACCATCAGATAGACGCTTTTTTAGCGAATGCAACATGCTTTCCACGTGGTTTCATATTTTTGTTTTTATTTTCTGCTCCAAACAATT